TTGAATTTTGGCAGTTCAGTGCAGGTTCTTACTGACTTGGCTGATAGATAACACAGACAGAAGGACTCACCGAGAAGTTGCCATAGCCCAGGTGGTCACAGGTACACTGACACCTGAGGATGTGGTCCTGTATGTCAGTTGGTAGGTCCTCAAGGCTCCTGCTAAGGCGCCTCCCTCCTGCCCAGGGGTCCTCTGCTGCCAGGCCCAGGGCGTCACTCAACCTCGCCTCCACGCTACTCCCCTGAGGCACCTGGAGGAGGGGAAGAAGGAGGACAGGTTAATTGGTGGTTAGGTCAGCTGGTGAGGTCAGTGGGGAAGTTAAGTCACGAGATGGATTAGTTAGGTTAGGTAGATTTTCGGTCAGGTCAGCTGGTGAGGTCAGTGAGGAAGTCAGGTCACGAGATGGATTGGTTAGCAGGTGGTTATATCATTGGGTGGTCAGGCAGGCAGGTGGTCAGGTTAATATAGGGTCGGGATAGCAGAATGTTAGGTCAACAGGTAGTCAGGTCATCAGGTGGTGGAAATAACATGTAGTCAGGTCATCAAGAGGTAGAAATAACAGGTAGTCAGGTCATCAGGTGGTGGAAATAACATGTAGTCAGGTCATCAAGAGGTAGAAGCAACAGGTAGTCAGGTCAAATAATGCCTCAAGTCAATACCTCAGTATATTTAATCTAAGTTCTATCCTGAAAAACTAATAACTTGTCTCTGGTGATCGATGGAAATATCCGCGCCTCAGGGGGTAAAACCTAGCTTGTGTAGCACCCTGGTGACGTAAATATAGTGAAAAGTCCATTTAACGCACTAAATTGAGAGGGAAGTTCGTTATATCAAGGGTCTGTTAGATGTGAAACGTCCATTTAACGCACTAAATTGAGAGGGAAGTTCGTTATATCAAGGGTCTGTTAGATGTGAAACGTCCATTTAACGCACTAAATTGAGAGGGAAGTTCGTTATATCAAGGGTCTGTTAGATGTGAAACGTCCATTTAACGCACTAAATTGAGAGAAGTTCGTTTATATCAAGGGTCTGTTAGATGTGAAACGTCCATTTAACGCACTAAATTGAGAGGGAAGTTCATTATATCAAGGGTCTGTTAGATGTGAAAAGTCCATTTAACGCACTAAATTGAGAGGGAAGTTCATTATATCAAGGGTCTGTTAGATGTGAAACGTCCATTTAACGCACTAAATTGAGAGGGAAGTTCGTTATATCAAGGGTCTGTTAGATGTGAAACGTCCATTTAACGCACTAAATTGAGAGGGAAGTTCGTTATATCAAGGGTCTGTTAGATGTGAAACCTCCATCTAATGAACTATATAGAGATGAAAGTCCATTATATCGAAGGTTCGTTATATGGAGAGGAAGTTCGTTATATGGAGGATTCACTATAAACAAATAAAGGAAATATAGGGGAAATTACACAGTTTAGCACTCGATGATGTCACGAAGTCAAGGGGGGGTGTTTACGTCTCCACTTAGCCATTTTGTCTGTGTTCTAATTACGATATTTTTCTAACCATTTCGTTATTATCTCTTAAAATAACAGTAAAACACGAGTAATTAAACACTAACGAGCTATAGGGTGATTCTTTGGGTGTATGTCCTTCAACCAATCAGCTACCTTGATCCAAACTACCTCATGGTCTCATTTACAAAGTCATCTGGTGGTCAGGACAACAGAGGGTGAGCCATGGACGCCATTAAAGGGAGAGAGGGTATCGTAATCGTTTTGCCAATCCTCAATCCATCCATCCTGGGGAAAATAAAAGTTTATTTCCCTTTAAACTCTTTTACCGATTTTGGTGAAATTTGGCACCAGTGTCACACGTCAGTCGAGGATGACCTGGAGGGGATGTGGTGAAGGTTGGTGAAAGGTGAAGGTCACAACGAGAGGTCAAAGTTCATCTGATTTGATTTGACTTGATCTAACTTAACCTAACATGACTTGAACTGTTAACTTATGTATGTTAACTTATTTATTTTAGTTGATTATTTATTTATTAATTTATTTATTAATAATATGAATAAAAAAGATTTAAATATAGAGAAAAAAATAAGAAATAAGAGAAGAAATTATCGTTATTTATCATATTATTATTATTATTATTATTATTATTATTATTATTATTATTATTATTATTATTATTATTGTTGTTGTTATTGTTATTGTTATTATTATTATTGTTATTATTATTATTATTATTATTATTATTATTATTATTATTATTATTATTATTATTATTATTATTATTATTATTATTATTATTCGTCATCAATAAAGCGAATGAGAGTAAAAAAAATAAACAAAACTTAATAAATCTTAACATATTTTTAACCTCTAGAGTAAGATAAATTTATTCACTAAATATAACACAAGTGAAGTTAACTAGAGAAAATAGACTCAGAGTGAAGCAACTGAAGTCCCTCCACAGGTCGCACTTACAGACACACATACTCAGAGGTTGAAGTGCCACTTACTGAAGGGTGACGTGAGGTTGAGTGTATGTGTGGGGTTACTTACACTTACTTAACACTTAATGAATGGATAGGTAATATTTGTGTAGATTTCGAACAGCAACATCACCAACTACAAGATAGATAATAGACGATAATAACAAGAAATGGGAAATAATACGAAAGAGAACGAAAAAACAAAGCAGAAGAAGAGGTAAATAAATGAAAGTGAGGGAGAGAAGGAGGGAGAGAGGGGGAAGAGATGGAAAAAAGATAGAGGTAGAACACAGGTGGAAAGAATGAGAGAAGGAGGGGGAGAGGAAGAAAAGTGAGGGAGGCAGACAGACAGAAACAGATACAGATCGACAGACAGAGAGACAGATAGACAGACAGACAGACACAGACTGACAGACAGAGAGACAGAGACAGAGACACGGAGAGACAGGGGGAGACAGATAGACAGAAAGAGACGGAGATATACTCACCATACATAAGGAGCCGTGATAAGAGGGTGGAGAGATCTCACGATATTCTTCAGGAACGTCCAAAGTCCCCGTCCATTGTTGACATCCTGAGTCCCTAGTGGCCCTACTGACGTCCCTAGTGGCCCTGTTGACGTCCCTAGTACCCCTGGTGACGTCCCTAGTACCCCTGGTGACATCTTCAGTAACGGGGCAAGCTAGATCGGGCGTCACGGAGCAATAATCGTAAGGTACTTCAGTTTCCCCCCAGTCTTGCTCGTCGACGTAAGGACATTGAGTCGAGGTTCTGGTGTGGGTTACATCAGGACGAGTGTATCTCACCCTCGGCAACGTGTCTGGGTGTTCCTGTTCTTCCTTCTGCCTTTCACATGTTTCGTAGATCACCGGAGAGACATCCTGTACGTGGTGAGGTGTCCTTGAGGGGGCGTAGGATACCTCTGATATCCTACAGACCCGAGGAGATGTGTGTTTACCTCCTCCACTGCTACCTCCTCCTCCTCCTCCATTGACACTCATGTTGTTGTGTTGTCGAGTTATTGCTTCAACTACACATTTCACTGCAGTAATTTTCCTCTATTTATTTTTCCTCAGAGGTCAGAGGTCAGAGGTCATTACGTTTGACCTTTTCACTCATGTAGGTAACTATTAACTAATTTTTATTAACACTTACTTGTATTACGTCAGTATATTGTTCTCACACGATACGAGGTGTAGTACTGGGTTTATGAGGTGTAGTACTGGGCTTATGAGGTGTAGTACTGGGTTTATGAGGTGTAGTACTGGGCTTATGAGGTGTAGTACTGGGTTTATGAGGTGTAGTACTGGGTTTATGAGGTGTAGTACTGGGTTTATGAGGTGTAGTACTGGGCTTATGAGGTGTAGTACTGGGCTTATGAGGTGTAGTACTGGGTTTATGAGGTGTAGTACTGGGTTTATGAGGTGTAGTACTGGGTTTATGAGGTGTAGTACTGGGTTTATGAGGTGTAGTACTGGGTTTATGAGGTGTAGTACTGGGCTTATGAGGTGTAGTACTGGGTTTATGAGGTGTAGTACTGGGTTTATGAGGTGTAGTACTGGGTTTATGAGGTGTAGTACTGGGCTTATGAGGTGTAGTACTGGGCTTATGAGGTGTAGTACTGGGTTTATGAGGTGTAGTACTGGGTTTATGAGGTGTAGTACTGGGTTTATGAGGTGTAGTACTGGGTTTATGAGGTGTGGTACTGGGTTTACAGGTACAAGGAACACGCGGGTACCTCCGAGTTGAATACAAAACCAGAAGCATCGATTTTATGTACAAATTTCATTACTTTCTGTAGTTTTATGTAATATATCGGGTTTATTTTTGTAACTTTGGGTTTTTTAAGTCACCGGGTTTGTTTTAGGTTTTTTTCTGTATCTGTTGTGGGGTTTTTTTCATATTTTTTCGTTGTTTTTGTATTCCTGTAAAACTCTGGTGGTTTTAATTGCTTTTTTCAACATAACTGTATTACTTTTTGTTGTTATTCCTAATTAGTTTTGTATTTTATCATATTTTTTCTATATATATATATATATTCCACGATAATTTCTCACTAAAACGACACTTAAAACAGATAAAAACCACCTTTAAAACAGACGATCCACAAGCTTGATTAAACCATTTTCAGAGTTAGGTTTAGGTTAGGTTATCCAATGGGTCTTCGATTCGGTCTGTAGAAGAGAAAAAAATATTAAGTGACTTTATTTTTCGGGTATGTATGTATGTATGTATGTATTTAAAGCATGCATGTATGTATGTATGTATGTATGTATGTATGTATGTATGTCCTCATTACGACACACAACCAACATTTCTTTCAGGTTAATTAATATTCACAAGAGTTTAAAAATGACAACTATTTTTTTTCAGTATTTTTTTTTAATACCTGTCTCATTTTTTTCGTAACTTCAGCATTAAAATGTTTCAATAGAGGTGATTTTCGTAACAAACTGGGATAGTTATGTTGGGGGTAAAGTGCGTGTGTGTGCGTGTGTGTGTGTATGTATGTCTGCCTGTCTGTACGTCTGTGTGTGTGTGTGTGTAGAGGCGTATTGTACATGAATTTTTATGGTGTACACATCCAATTGATTACTTGTGTATCTGAGTAAGAGTACACATATTCAAATGTGTGTGTGTGTGTGTGTGTGTGTGTGTGTGTGTGTGTGTGTGTGTGTGTGTGTAAATCCCTCCACACACACATGAGTACACGTGTGTATGTATGGTAACAGAGCAACACAAGATATTAAAAATACTTGAACGAGTTTTTAACATTCTTTATGATAATATATTCAAGGGGAAGCAGTGCCAGAGAGTGCCACATTGACTGGTGATTAGGACTAGGGTGCCAGAGAGTGCCACATTGACTGATGATTAGGACTAGGGTGCCAGAGAGTGCCACATTGACTGATGACAAGGACTAGGGTGCCAGAGAGTGCCACTTTGACTGGTGACAAGGACTAGGGTGCCAGAGAGTGCCACATTGACTGGTGATTAGGACTAGGTGCCAGAGAGTGCCACATTGACTGGTGATTAGGACTAGGTGCCAGAGAGTTACATTGACTGGTGATTAGACTAGTTAAGAGTGCCACATTGACTGGTGATTAGGAGTAGGGTGCCAGGAGTGCCACTGACTGATGACAAGGACTAGGTGCCAGGAGGAGCCACATTGACTGGCAGGATTAGACTTAGGGTGCCAGAGAGGCCACATTGACTGGTGACAAGGACTAGGGTGCCAGAGAGTGCCACATTGACCGGGGTGATGACTAGGGTGCCAGAGAGTGCCACATTGACTGATGACAAGGACTAGGTGCCAGAGAGGCCACATTGACTGGTGATTAGGACTAGGGTGCCAGAGAGTGCCACATTGACTGATGACAAGGACTAGGGTGCCAGAGAGTGCCACTTTGACTGGTGACAAGGACTAGGGTGCCAGAGAGTGCCACCTAGGAAGAGAGTGACGTGAGAGAGGGGAAGTGCCGATAAGTGCCACTAAAGTAATCACAGGGGTGTGTATGTGTGTGTGTGTGTGTGTGTGTGTGTGCAAGTGTCATGACATAAAAGAGAGAGAGAGAGAGTCAAGAGGTGAATCAATGATAAAATGAATGATAAATAATGAGAGAAAGAGAAAGATAAAAAGATAAAAAAAAGAGAGAGAGTTGAAGAACTAAAACTTTCTGCTGGTAAACACAGGAATAGAAAGCACCATTGTTGCCTTTGTCTTTCTGCTCACTAATAGGGCTGAGAGAGAGAGAGAGAGAGAGAGAGAGAGAGAGAGAGAGAGAGAGAGAGAGAGAGAGAGAGATCAGTGAAACCAGGCTAAGCGTAGGAAGCTTAGCCTATGTGAGATCAAACTAAGCTTAAACCTTCTTACCAGCTTAGTCACTCCCCTTGTTAGAGAGAGAGAGAGAAAGAGAGAGAGAGAGAGAGAGAGAGAGAGAGAGAGAGAGAGACCATCTCCCTCACCTGTACTGGGTCAGGTTAGAGCTTCAGGTAAGACAGTTAATTAGTGGCTACACCTGTGTCAGCTGTTGTTTGCTTCACCTCTGTATAGTTCTTGTTCTTTGTCTCTGTTTATCTCTCCCTCTCGCTCTATTTCTCTCTATCTCTATTTCAGTCCCTTCTTTTCTCTCTCTCTTTTTTCTCAAATTCTCTCTCTCTCTATTTCAGTC